CATGAATAAGTCAGTCTATGTACAGAATACCATGTTTGCCAGCTGTGGTTTTTGGTTGCACCCCAAGGGACAGACTTTGTGGCTTCCTGTAGTGGATCCTGAGCAGGGTTTTAGCCTGAGAACAGATGGGATTGGGAAGTGACAGTGGTACTGTCTCCAGTGCAGACTAGTGTTGGCATCATTCATGCCTGTGAGACACAAACACATCAACCCCAAAGTAACAGCAGAAGAGGTGGTCTGGCAGTCTTCATACATCCAGGATGTCTATATGTATGTTTAGTAGACTGTACTGCTAATGTAAGATATTGAACACCAACAAGTGACTCTCAAGTGTGAGAACTGGATTATAAGCAGAGCCAGGCCAATATACAGTTGAGGAAAACAAGGTGTGGGCTGGGAGGTGAAGCAGTAACTCCATCTTGCATCTCCCTCCTGGGGACCAGACTCTGCTGCTTCTTCCTGTTCAGAGACCTGGGTTCTGTGTGGCTGGAAAAAAGCTATTTCCAAACACTGAGCAGCAATAGAAAATGTACCTCTTCTTGACAGCCACTTGCAGAGGTCAGACTTGCACAAGTGTGGTTCTGGTCCTTTTGAGCCCCTGTTTCTCACCTGCATCATCACTCTAAACAGCTTTCCCTGCCCTGTGAAGACTGAATGAGCTTGAGGAGCTCCAGGACTTTCACTGCACTGGGACAAGTTTTGAGTGGAAGGAGAGAGAAGGGAAGAGCAGAGTTTTGCTCTCTGCAGTGAGAGGATTGGTGCTGCTTCATCAGCAGGACCACAGGATGGAGCAAGTGACAGAATCCGAGTTACTAAAGTGGTACAGTGGTTTTACACTGGACTTAATTTAGCCACGGGATATAGGTATAAAGTTTGCACAGTTGTAGGCTGAGCTGCTATTCTATCCCATATTCCTACATATATACATGTATGTGGAAAGAGAGTTTGGGTTGAAACAAAGTTTTTGTTCACCTTAGTTGTTAGCAGGAAAATAACACGAGTTTTTGTGGCTTAATTTTCCCATGGGATCAGTGGGCCAGCTCATACCCATGAAAAGATTTGCAATCCCTTTTTTGTGGCCTTTCTGACTGTATTATCTTTCATTAGTTGGTTAGCTTGCTGCTTTGTCCTGGCAATTTAACCAATGGAGCAAACTCAGGAATATGAGGGATCCATAGGGATAAGACACAATCACTGCTAGAGTTCAGATGCACATTTCCATGTCTAAATGGCCTTTTGAAGAGTGCTCTGGAAATACACGCCAGCTTGTGGCATGCTCGCTTATCAAAGCTCATTAGACTTCCAGTTTATGCTGCTGTAAGGCAGCTGTTTAAAGCTCATTCAGGTCAATAGCTGAACAGCCAAAGAGCTGGAAGAAAAACCTGACTTCTGACCTGAGAAGAAGAGAAGATCTCGCTTGCCTGGAAGAGAAATTCTCTTCACTGGTTTTCCAGCTTGTTTTCCAACAAATGTTTTCGTGGGAGGATGCAAATCTCTACTTCCTTAAATTTGAGCCTCTCGACCAACATACCACACTGCTGCTCACAACTCTTACGTGGATGCTTAGTGACTATAGCTGCATTGTGCAGGTTTACTTCAAGGCTTTCAGTTCTCTTACTCTGTTCGCTTGGTCGCATCAGGCAGAGGAAGGAGCTGTTGGGTGCCCCCCGCACCAGCAGTCCTCTGTTGGGGTGGTAGAGGGCATCCTAACACTGAGCACTTGGACGGTTGTTGGTAGAAGTTTTGTAACACATGGATTTAATAAAGGAATTGTGTATGAAAGTTCTGCTTGGTTTGGAGTATTTGTTTTCACTCAGAATGAAGGCAAAGACCTGAGTATGACCAAAAGCATCGTCTTTACAATTGACTGAATGAATTTAAGGAGGTGTTAAGTGTAACAGCTAACCTGGGTAAGACAGCTACCAGGTGGAGAAGACAGTGCCTGTTCTAATCCTGCCAAGACTGAAGCAGGAACCTCGAAGCATTTAGGACTCAAAGCACTGGACGTGGTAGTGGGATGGTTCTACCTCCGCTGGCCTGGAAAGCCCCAGGATGGTGGCAATGCCCGTGGTGGATAAGGCCTGTGTTAGTGCTGGCATAACCCAGTGGAAAATCATTCCTATTATCAGTTGTGTAATCTTTTGTCAAGAAATCACAAGGTGCTTTAGTTTTAGTCCTATTTTTAAACCCATAGGTATAAACGCTTTGATCTCCTCCCAAACTCAGTGCAACGTTCACATCAAGCTGTTGATGTCAGACCTTTTGCATAATGCATTTTCCAGACTTACAGCCCAGCTAGGATTGGATTTGACTGATCGGATTTCCTTGGGGTCTAAATTGGGAGATAGGATGGCTTGGAAAAGGCAAATGCCATGTGATGTTCCTGAGCTTCTACCATCTGCTCTGACGTTTGATGCCTCTGAAGGTGGGCAGGATTGAAGATGGAATAATCAGGTAAGAAAGCTGAAGGTGAGGCTGCTGTTGAAGGAGGCTGGTGGGGAGAGGCACCAGGGAGCAGCAGGAATCTTATCTTGGGATGCTCTGGGATATTCCCGGGGGAAGCACAGAGCTCTGCTTTGCATGCTCTTTATTTGCCTATGCTCTCAGAGGGGAGCTTCACCCATGGATAGCTGGGGTTTGGTGGCTGCCCAGGGGAAAGGTTTGTGTCCGGGTCATTCCCAAAGCACCCATGTGCAGCTTCCCATGTCATGTTGAACTGAACGGCCATGCCAGGACTTACACAGCCCCTTGCTGGTCACTACAGGGACTTCTTGCGGTCTCACCACACTCGTTTCTCACTGTACCTGTGCTCAGGTCTGGCAGGGTGGGAAAAGATGACTTTCCTCCTCCCCTTCAAAGGGAAGTGCACCTCAAATTTAGAAAGTATCTCAAACACATCCCCCTTAAATACCCTCTATTTAGAATCACAGAATGGTTTGGGTTGGAAGGGACCTTAAAGCTCCTCCAGCTCCAACCCCTGCCACGGGCAGGGACCCCTTCCACTGGAGCAGCTTGCTCCAAGCCCCTGTGTCCAACCTGGCCTTGAACACTGCCAGGGATGGGGCAGCCACAGCTTCTCTGGGCACCCTGTGCCAGCGCCTCAGCACCCTCACAGGGAAGAGCTTCTGCCTAAGAGCTCATCTCAGCCTCCCCTCTGGCAGCTTCATGATGCCAAAACAAAGGTTTCTGCACTTGCATGAGACAGCAAATGCGTCCTGCTGGAAGCAGAATGATTGACTGAGGGAGAAAAAGCACAGCCTGCAAGAGCCTTGTAAAACAGCTTTATTAGTGCGCTATAGAATGGCACTACAAAAGCTTCATGGTGAAACACAGTCAAATGAAAAAGGTGCCCAGGAAAAATGGTCAGAAAGTTGCTTATGAATTGCAAGCATCCAATGCCAAATAACGACTTTCATCTAGCCAGGAGCTCCTTCCTGGTGTCCTGTATTGCCTCATATGAGGTGAGGAAATCCCTCTCGAGGAGCAGCCAAGGCACAACCCCAGCTTGGTGTGGGGCTGAGGCTGCTGCTCTCACAACCTCCTTGTGCGTGTGCTGGGTCCTGGGCACAGCCCCTGCTCCTGGCACTGGTTATCAGCACCGGGAGATAAGATTCCTGTGCCCAGGATGCTTTAATAAGGGGTGACTGGGGTTTATTCCACAGGGGACGGTCCCTGAGCCCACTGTGCCATGGATGGCACCCATTGCCTGCTCAGGAATACTCAGGTGCTTGCGGATGCTCATGGTGCGGACATGGTGTCTGGCCCATCTCTAGCAGCACAGCCCTTCAGACTGCGCGCAGTTTGCTGCCGTTGTCGTTAAAACCACTCGAGGGTGCCACAGAGCGTAACTTGGAGGAGAGGTTTTGTTGTGCAGCTGAGGAGACACGCAGGAATCTTCCTACAAACGGGCACAGCTTTTTCCCCTCTCAGGTTACCGCTATCGCAGCCCTTCCAGGTATTTCAAACCGAAATACTGAATCCCAGCCTGGTTTGGGTTGGAAGGGATTTGAAAGCTCATCCACTTCCAACCCCTTGCCATAGGCAGGGACCCCTTCCATAGAGCAGCTTGCTCCAAGCCCCTGTGTCCAACCTGGCCTTGAGCACTGCCAGGGATGGGGCAGCCACAGCTTCTCTGGGCACCCTGTGCCAGCGCCTCAGCACCCTCACAGGGAACAGTTTCTGCCTAAGATCTAATAGCATGCCCTGAAAGTTCAGATAGCTGTTCAAAAAAGGCACCATTCTGTGTTTTTAATGCTTTAAAAACAAAGAGGAGCCACTGCATTCACCACTCCCCTTTTTCTAGCTCGTAGGTGGTTTTCTCTTAGAATCATAGAATCATGGAAGAGTTACGGTTGGAAAGGACCTTAAGATCATCTCATTCCAACTCCCCTACCATGGGCAGGGACACCTCACACTAAACCATGCCACCCAAGGCTTCGTCCAACCTGGCCTTGAACACTGCCAGGGATGGAGCATTCACAACCTCCTTGGGCAATGATCTTACATGATCATTAATGATTGCTAACAGAATAATAGCAAATGAAAGCAGCAACGGCTAAAAATGCTGATCTTGTGCTCTGGAAATGTGCATGGAGAGAGAAGGTTCGGGTCTGCTGTGCAGGTTTCATACGTGTGTCCTTTGGGGACCTCCTTTCACCAGGGCCAAGTGCTGGCAGCCCTGGGGCTCATCCCCTGCAGATGCTGGTGTTGGCCGCTGCTTGGTGTGAGGCTCTCTTGGTGCATTGTGTCCCTGCATCACACAAGAGGTCCCACTGGCAGTCCTGGGGGGAGATGTGTGCTTCCAGCACGATGAGCTGCCATCACAGCACCCCTCTTCACTGCTGCACTGGGCAGGACCAAGGCAGAGCCCCAGACTCCCCTGAGCCATGTGCCAGGGGAGCAGTAGCTTAGGAGCAGACCCTGGTCCCTATAGTCTATCGCTGGCTGCACTGGTGCTGGGGCAGCTCCCACAAACACATTTGTTTTAAGGATGCAAAGGGGGGGAAGCAGAGAGGAAGGGAAGGCATCCCGGGAGCCTATTGGGCAGCCTCTGCCTCCTGCTGCGGCTCGTGCGGGTTCTTCCCATCGTTCTGGATCAACCGGACGATGTGTGTCAGGTCCAGGCTGCGGGTGAGGATGTCGAGCAGCACCTCATCCTTCTGCACGCCCTCCATGAACTCTTCCAGGGAAAGCTCACCTGCAGGAGCACAGTGGGAAAAGATCTGTTCAGCCCTGCAGCCTCTCTGCTCCCACTGCAGCCCCCTCTGGAGTTACATGGACCATAACATGGGGCCCTTCCTGGTGTCCCAGGTCTGTGTCGTACTCCCCAAACCCCATCCCAGCTAAATCCTGCCAGTACAACAAGGGACAGTTTGCAGTGGCTCCAGCCCACGGAGGGGATGAGTTAAACCCTCATGGGGAGCTGCTCTCTTCCACATCCTGGTGTTTTGGGCCATCCAGCATCTGGAATTGCTGTGGCCTGCAGGGCAGGGGGAAGCTGGGAGCAGGATTTGGCTTTGTGTAAGGAAGTTCCTCACCATCTCCATTGATGTCGATTTTGTCAAACACCATGTTTGTGAATTCCTCAGCCGTCATCTTTTCGTTGCACCGGTTGATGGCTCGAATAGCCTGGAGGAGAAGAAGGACACAGGATAACTACCGAGTGTTGTGAGGTTTGTGTACCGGTGGGTACCAGCAGCTGAGTGACCAGATGTGAGAGACCAAAGCTTTGATGCAGGCAGTTAGTTCTGAAAGGAATAAATCCTTGCCAAAAAACCCAGAGATTAAAATCCCTTAAAAAGGCAATCAATGCATTAAAAGATTAAGCGGCCGCACTGGGATAAGCCAGGAGCCGTCCACCTCTGCAGATCCTGCGATTAAATCAAAGTGCTTATCTCAGCCTGGGTTGCAGTGGACGCGCTTAAACAGCCTGCGATAGGGAGACAAGGGCTTGCTGTGGGGCTGAGCGTGCCGGAGTGGGGTGCTTGAGGCAGGGCGGCCAGGCCGGTGGGACTGGCAGAGGACACGCAGCAGGTTTGGCCACTTCCTGTTCATTTACCAGGGAGGTGTCCTTTGGGTTGGAACATTCCTGTTGCAGCCTTTCTATGTACCTGCATCCAATGACCCTTGTGGGTGATAGGAATGGGAAAGGCTGAGCCCGCTCACCTTGATGATGTTCAGCAGCTCTCCCCGGTCAATGCAGCCGTTCCCATCCACATCATAGAGCTTGAAGTACCACCGCAGCTTCTGATCCACCTTCCCTTTGAGGACCAGACTCAGAGCTGCCACGTACTCCATAAAATCTATGTAGCCGTCCTGGAAGCAGAAGGGTAGAATCTGAACGAGACTCGAAGCAAAGAGTCAGGCAGGAAGAGATTTTCCTGGCCAGTTTATGGATGTCCCCACTGGAAGACTCCATGTGCTGAGGGCTCTGTTAATCCACACAGGGCTGTTATGTGTTGATAACAACCAAACTCAGTGGGTGCACATGGCTTGGACTAACCTTCAAAGCCAGCCTGAGCGGAAGGAGCCTATGCAAAGCAGTGGTAATTCAGAGGTCAAAGAGGAGCAGGTTTACACAGATGAACCCTGATGGATTACCTGATGTTATCCTTTACAGCTCTTTTCCGCTGCTTTTTTCTCCCATGCAAAGCTTCAGGAGAGGAATGAGCTCAGGAATTCCCCCAGTGTTTTGGGAAGGAGCTGCTCTGTCCCTGTGCCATTTGTGTGTCTGCTTCACTCTCCTTACCTCAAAAGCACAAATACTTTTATCTTTGACTTTCCTCCCCGGTGTTTGCCGAGCACCAGCTCACACCACAGCATTGAGAGACGTTCAGCTGGACCCACAGACGGCTCCCAGGCCGGGTTATGGTACCATTGGCACCAATGACACCACCCTGTGATGTTCACAGCTTCTAGGGTGCTTGCTGAAGTGCCACAGAGCATTTTGATGGCACAAACCATTGGGATAGAGAGTGCTTTGAAGGAAAATGATAGACACTACAAACCATGGGCAGTCATCAATAGAGAATAAGCCAGTGTTTTGTCAATGAGAAAAGCCATCAAGGCCTGTTCAGGTATAGATCATCTGCTTTATCCTGCTGCTGCAGGTGCCAGATTAGGTATAAATTGATACTAAGCCCCATTTCCTGTGCATCAATTCCCTTTTCAGGCAGGCATTCAAACACGGGGCAGTGAGCAAGGTAAAGGCTTAAACATAGAATCATAGAATCATGAACGGTTTGGGCTGGAAGGGACCTTAAAGCTCATCCAGCTCCAACCCCTGTCACAGGCAGGGACACCTTCCACTAGAGCAGCTTGCTCCAAGGCCCTGGATGTTTCTTCCCCTTGGAGTCACAGCATCCATCTGCTTCTCTCGCCTGGCTCCAGAGCTGGGAAAACAGCATTCCCAAGCTCGTGCAGGTGCTTTGGGACTACCCTGCTCCAGGGATGCAGCACAGCCACAGCCTGAGATGCAAAGCCTTTCCATGGGCAACAAAAGACCTGAGCTCCTTATTGTATGGAACTGAGCACATGTAATAAAAGCAATGAAACTCTAGTCCATCTGTAACTTAAAACAATGGAAAACCAAACCAGGTCTGTTCTGCAAAGCAGAGCTCGTGCCACGCTTGGGAACTCTGTTTCTGCATGAATGCAGCACTTGTTCTCACCCCACTCGCTTCTTCCTCTGTCACAACACTCGCTATATGAGGGTTAAAGGGCACTTCATTGGAAACGGATCACAGACACAGATAAAACCAAACTATTTGAGTCATTTAAAAGGAAAACATCAGCTCAGGGCCAAATCTTCTTTCTCCCAGAGCAGGCAGTAAATGGGGAGGTTTTGCTGCCATTTTTCACTGTACATACCTATCATTTATGATGCCAAAGAGAATCAGACCATCCACAGTGACACACACAGAGTCCTAGCGCAGTTAGGGTTGGAAAGGACTTTAAGATCCTCTTGTTCCAAGCCCTTTGCCACGCACAGGGACATCCATCCCACATACACCCACGTACCCCCCATGCACATCACACCCAGAGCCGAGCCCTGCCCAGGCTGAGCGGGGAGGACAATATTTACCTTGTTAAAGTCAAACGTCTCAAACATTTGCTCAACGTATTTGTTGGCAGCAGGAGTCAGGTTTTTCAAGCCAAAGAACTGCTTGAACTCATAGAGGGTGAGCTGGCCCGAAGGACACTCCGTCATGAACTTCTTATACCACTGGTGGCACTCGGTGGTGCTCAGCTCCTCCACGGATTTCCCGTCCATGTTCCCCATCTCGGCTCACTTTGCAGCCAAAGCAATGGGTGTTTTGAGGTGGAATTTGAGGGCTTTCTCTTGACTTCTGCTTCTTGCCTTTAGAGTCTTGGTGTTGGCGGCGCTGCAGGGATCACTCGTTGGGAAGAACCCAGCTGCCTGTGTGTGGGTGATGGAGGCAAAAGCCACCTCTCCCTGGGGAAACTCCAAAGCACAAAATCCTCTTTGGACAAGAGGGTGGCATTTAAGTACCCAGCAAATCCCTCCCTGGCGGCCAATGAGGCGCAGGGGGGTGATGGGCTCCTGCCAGGCATTAAGAGTTGAGGGTTAAAATAGAAAGGAGGTAAAATGGGCAAGTCTTGCAGATTACAGGCCCAGCAGAGGATTACGAGGGTGGAATTTTCTCTGTGATGATGTAATCTCCTAATCCACTTCATTTATGATTTGGGGGGGGGGGGTGTCACGTAAGTAATACCTTTTGGACCAAAATCAGAGTGAGAAGAAAGAGAAGAACCACTCGGAAGTGCTGCTACTGAGGTTTGGTCTCCTCTGCCTGGAGGATTTCCAGTCCGAGCTGAAATTCAGGAAGGGGGAGGCACCATGTCATCTCCTGTAAGAGCTGCTGCATGAGGGTAAATTTGGTGTGCTGGCACCAACATAGGAACATAATTGCTTTGACTGGTAAAGGTTTAAGTGCTCTAAATGCAGACACCACATGCTGTGATGATCTTCTCCCAGGGAAGCTCTCATTCCTCCCAGCTGATGGAGCCCTGTGCTCTTATCCCTTCAGTGCTGGACACGGCACATCCCATGTTACCAGCACTCAGCTGATGCAAGTGCTGTTGAATGCAGCTTTGATTTTCATTTATGATGAATTACCATGTAAATATGACCACAACCAGTGCTGGTTTTACCCTGATGCACAGCACTCAGGGAAGGACTGGGAGATAAAGTAGCATGGACCAGATCATCCACTAGTAATAAGACGGATGTGACAACTGGATCTCAACCTGCAGAGAGTCTGTCCTGTAACACTTACTTTTATGTCCATGTATATAACTTTAAGACAAAAAGCCCAGCTTTTATGTGTTGCAGAGCTCAGTATTGCAAATTAGGAGTAACTCTGCTAAAGCAAGTGGCATTCTGCAAGTGTAAAACAGTTACGAAGAAGGAATTAGCTTGGGAAGTGCTAATCCTACACTGGCCAGCAGCAACAGGCACAGCTCTGCGAGCAAAGTGGTGCTTTAGTGGGTGCCCTGGACCCTGACCCACTGCCAAAGGGATGTGGCTGGGATAGCCCGTCCTGTGGCACACAGAAGGGTTGCAATACTGAGACATTCATTAATAGCAGAAAGGTTGGGTATTAAATGTGGATGCAGGCTCAGCAGCTCCTTCAGGTACTTGCTAGCGGTGCATCCAGTTGCCCAGGGTCAGAATCCCTCACCACGCTCACAGGGAAGAGCTTCTGCCTTAGATATTTCATGCTGCGCTCTGCGGAGAGCTGCAGGCACGTGCCCCCGCCATTTCAGCTCCAATTAGCATCTCTTTTCTGAGCACCATAAATGAAACACGCTTTTCCATTCACAAAGGACAACGCTTTGCCTGTGTCTGGGGAAAGCCTGGTGAATGAAGAAGTCCTTCCAAAGCACGAGCAGAAGCCAGGTTCCTTGTGCAGATGGGCCTGGCTGGGTCACCATTCACACACTGCCTCCACGTAAGCTGGTAGCAACAAATGACAGGACAAACGGGGCTAGGATTTGAGAGCAAAACCCACCCTGCACGTTTGTCTGAGGAGCAGTGACAGCTTCACCAGCCATTGCGGTGCTCCCTGGTTGTGGCTCAGACACCCAGTGGGAAGCTGAAGTCACACCAGAACACATCACTGCTTTCATTCCTTGGGATTTATTGGGTTTCCTTGGGCTTTTTGCCCTGGATGGGTCTCCATTTCACAACGTTTGCACTCGGGACATCCATCACCTTCCTGGTGTGATCGGTGTCGCGGTGGAAGCGGTACCCGCACGTTGCCTTCTGCGCCGTGGAGAAGGGGCTGTGCGAGTTGGAGCAAGTGGATTGGTAGAAGAGAAAATGGAAGGAATTGGGCCGATGGTTCCCATAATGGGTGACAAAAGGAATGCAGTGGGCAGCCAAAGGCCGGGCCCTGTGGGGCTGTGCTGGAGGGGGCTGGCTCTGTGGGATGGGCGGCGAGTGGGAGACGTCCTGCTTCTCTTTGGTCTCCTCTGTTCCCTTTGGTCTCTTGTGGTCTTTGCCGGGGGCTTCTGGTGGCTGAGTCCTCTATGGGGCAAAAGAACCAGACAAACGCACTGCAATTGCCCGCACACTTTGCTCTCCTCACCAGGGCAGAAGGCCCCTGTACTAGTAACCAAAAAGCAGCAAGTTAAGCAAACCAGCAGAGCTTATGGAATACCAGCCTGCTTGCACCCGTTGCAAAGGCAGTCAGTAGGCAGTGTAAATGCAGAGAAGGCAGCTATTTCCATTTCATAGAGTCACAGCCTGGTTTGTGTTGAAGGGACCTTAAAGCTCATCCAGTTTCAATCCCTGCCATGAGCAGGGACACCTTCCACTAGCGCAGGTTGCTTCAAACCCTAGCCAACCTGGCCTTGAACACTGCCCTTTCTTTAGCTAAAAGTCGAAGGTGGCGTTGCTCAAAGTGCTTAAAGTGAGTTTAAAATCAAATGATGCACTGGAAATACAGAAAAGGCTTAGTGGAAATTAAGGAAATCATAGTGAGAAATGCCCATGGCAAGACTCGAAGCACTCAATTCTCTCTTGACTGGTTATTTGTAACAGGGCAGAGTGAATATAAAGTGCTACCCAGTTTCTGATGTCCCTGCTGTCAGTCTGACCTGGCTCCCCCTTCCACCTCTTTTGGAGGATGCAATTCCTTTCTGTGTTTGGCACAAGGAACCCCAGTCCCAGATGGAGATCTCAACCGTGACAGCTATAAATGACAGTGGTACCTGTTCCTTGTAAAGCCTGCACCTAACCACAGCTATGGCAAACCAGCCGTGAAGATGGTCCAACCCCATCTGACCCACAAGACGCAACGGGATGTATCAGTGATGACAGAACCATAACGCTGTCCTTTGCAAACACAGCCCGGGGCATCAGCTCAGCAGCCTCCGGGTCACCCTGTGGGTGCCTACCACCACCCTGCGCCTTGTGCTGCTGTGTTCACTGCTCTTCCCAAATCTCTAAGTGGGTTTCGCCCTCCTGGGGATGTGCAGGGAAAATCTGGGTTGTTGATAACAGGCAAAGCTCTTCCCCACCACCAGCTGGGTCACGTTGCTGAAGTCCTGGGGCAAAGCCAGTGCCACCAGCCCTATGCACGAGCTGCCCCTGTGGTCCTCGGTCCAACACCCGCTTCACTGTGCATTTACATCCCCCCTTTGCAGAGGAGGCGGTGTGGACGTGTGCCCCAAGACACACATGGGGCTGAGCTGTCACCCCTGGCTGCTCTGAGGCTCTGCTTGACTGAGCAGCTGTTTGTGCTGCTGTTATTTAACCATGACTCAGTTATCTTGTGTTCATTGATGACTCCTCCGTGCTAATGGAAACTGGCTCTTCCCCAGCAATTAACTGCTTTACTCCTGGGCGTCCTAAATAAACGCTTTGCTGTCTGCCTTTATTTTTAACCCACTAAAGAGGTTTCCTAGTTTCCGTGACGCCCTGGCTTACCGGGTGCTCTATTTCTGATCCTGTGCTCTGAGCACTGCCTCCTAAACCTGTTAGGAGGGGGACACCAGCAAACTGTTTAGAAATCCCCTTCGAGGGAAATGCCCCCATCCCCATGGATTCATCACCTTTTTTTTGCTACCCATTTCCCCATTTCATTTGCCAGATGCTCGCAAGGTTCCATTGCTGGAGCTCAGGACAAGCATTATTTCATCCAGCACTTAAACACTTTACCCCCATTTTCTCCACTTAAAGAGATGGATTTTGGCTCCTGAAGAGCACAGTTTGTACCATGACCATCATTTCAGTGTGGTTTGCGTGGCCCTGCCCCGAACAGGGATTTGCTCAGAAACGATCCCGTTCACATGTGTGCATGATTACAGCTCGTGGCCTTTCTCGCTTCGGAAGATAAGAGACAAGTACGCACACGACTGCAGGTGCGTCCACCCAGCAGGGAGGCGTTCGTGTTATTAAAGCAGTGCAGTTGGGGTGGGGAGCAGAGGCCGTGGCTGCTTTGAAAACCCAACTGCTAAGTCATGTGGATGCTTTTGAGGTGTGCAAGCCTTGCACGCAGTCGGTGATAGGGGCTGACAGCTGTTCCCAGTGACAGGCAGGGTACCGTGCCTTGTGAAGCACTCTTGTGATGGGGTTCGGCTGCCCCGGGTGTTGCTGCTCATCCCTTGGGGCACCTAAGGGTGCAGAAACATCCTCCTTGCTGGGGGAGTGCATCTGCTTACGTGATCCCTGTCTTTGAGGGGAAGCATCAGCTCAATGTCCTCAGTGCTATTTATGGCACTGCCAGAGCTCAGTGGCTGAATGAAGAATCCCACATAATCCTATTGCATCCAGTTATGTGTTTAGAGATCCCTAATCCCTGCTAAACTGCCTGTTGTCTCTCAAGGAACATCCTCACAGGTGGGGTCACAGAGAGAACAACGATTTCAGTAAATCAAGGGATCACCAAGGGTTCAGACATCCATTCTAGATGAGGGTTCCCCTGCCCATCCTGCCCTGTGCTGCTGCCACCCTCCTTGCCCTGCAGCAAGGGAACCCTGATCCTGCGCTTGTCCCTATGCAGCCATCCCAGGTCTGTCACACAGGGTTTGCTCTGAGCTCTCCACGGATGATGGTGATGCAGCAGGGCAGGGACGAGGCATCACACCAGCGCCACCAGGACCCTTCCGTCCCGGCCGCCCATGGGAAGGGGATGGGGAAAGCAGGAATCCCTCCTGCCAAGCCGTGAGCTCCCACCTGCGAGGCCATCTCCCTGCTGGGGACCCGCACACAGGGACCCCGGCGCACGGGGCTGTCAGTGCTGGAGCTGGAGGCAGCGCTGCCGCGGCTGCTGGGGCCATTGGGACCATTGTGACCATCGGGGCCATTGTGACCGTGAGGGTGGGAGCTGTCACAGTGGGGCCCAGGCTGAGCAGGGCTGCTCGGGCCCGGCGTGCTGGGGAGCGCAGGGGTTCAGCCACGGAGATGAGGAGGGAGCTGCTTCTCCTATGGGACAAGGGAGGGATTGCATCCAATGGGAGCCACCGCTGCTGCCCGTCCAGGGCAGGAGGGTTTCTCCTCCCATCCCTCCCCGGGTCTGGATGAGGATCCGCACCACACAAGCGCTTCACACACCTGCGGGTGCACCCTGTGCATCTGCAGAGTGCAGCTCCTCACGCTGATGCAAAAGCAGATTGTTCTGGGGTGTTTACTTGTAATAGGATCAAAGGCAGCCTCACACTGTGGTGTGTTCAATCAGAGCAGAGCTCACATGGCTATTTCTATGCCATAAAATCCGATGGCGATCTTCCAAGTGCTTTCCCGAGCTCTGTGCTCGGCCCACCTTTAGCTGTGTGGCCTCAATGGAGATAGGAGAGTGGCACTTGTCCTCCCTTAAAATAGCAGCCGTACCGCCACGCTGGGCATCTTTGCTGCCCCTTTCACATGCATGCTTTGCCAAAAGCAAACCTTCCTCGCTGCTCTTGCAAACCCTGGGCTTTCCCTGGTCTCCCGGGGTGAGGTCTGTGCTTTATTAGGAGGAGGAAGGTAAAGAGCAAACGTTTTTCATCTGGAACAGACAGGAGGGTGCACATGAGCTCCTGTGTTCACTGCGATAATAAATTCACCTTGGAACACTCATCCCTTCCTGTTGTGAGGAGTGTGTTTTCCAACGCGCACCACCCAGGGTGAGGCTCAGCCATCGCTGCTGGTGGCTCGGGTACAGCTCCCAGCCATGGAGCTGCTCCGGAGTCCCCCCTGCCCCAGGGCAGAGCAGTTCTCCAGGGGCTGAATCACACCTTCCTCCTCCTGCAGAGCATCCCTGCGGCGCTGCAGCCCCTTTGATGTGTCCCTGGTGCAATGACACTTTGTAGGACACGGCCGTGCACGAGCCCAGGCTTTCTCATTCCGTGGGATTTTATTGGCTTCTCTTCTTAAAATAGCTCCTTTTCTCTTTCCCCTTTCCCTTCACTTTGTCTGTGTATCCTGCTCGGTTTGGTCACTCAAAGACTGAATATCAGCAAGCACATATGTCCTGCCTATCATAGAATCCCAGACTGGTTTGGGTTGGAAGGGACCTTAAACTCCTCCAGCTCCAACCCCTGCCACGGGCAGGGACCCCTTCCACTGGAGCAGCTTGCTCCAAGCCCCTGTGTCCAACCTGCCCTTGAACACTGCCAGGGATGGGGCAGCCACAGCTTCTCTGGGCACCCTGTGCCAGCGCCTCAGCACCCTCATAGGGAAGAACTTTGGCTTAATATCTAATGTCAATCTCCCTTTCCAAGTCCTTCATTTCATCCGATTCCTGCTTTCAAGAGGTGTCAGTGAATTTTCTTTCCATGTCTGGGGTTCACAGTATTGGGTCCTGCACAGAGCTCTCTGGGGCAATGCTGTTTCCCGGTTTCCATTCTTTTCCTGCTCTTGCCTGCGGGCAGGGCAATCCCTTTGCCTCCCATCCCAACTGAAACCCAACTGTGGGTCCCTGTGGCGTGTTCCTGGGCAGATGGCTGCAGGATTGTCCCCGCTCCCTGTCCCACACAGGCAGCAGTTAAGATAACTGTCAGCAAGGCGTGAGTCCCGCTAATTGCAGGGCTTGTGCATGGCACAGAGCTGTCCCTTCCGCAGCACCGCTGCTGCAAGAGCCGACTGGGAGCCGGCTGCCATTGGAGCATGGGGCATTGGGCATAATTGTGCACACCCCCTTTAGATAGGGACAGGCCAAGGGGAATGGCTTTAACCTGCCCCAGGGGAGACTGAGATGAGCTCTTAGGCAGAAGCTCTTCCCTGTGAGGGTGCTGAGGCGCTGGCACAGGGTGCCCAGAGAAGCTGTGGCTGCCCCATCCCTGGCAGTGCTCAAGGCCAGGTTGGACACAGGGGCTTGGAGCAAGCTGCTCCAGTGGAAGTGGTCCCTGCCCGGGGCAGGGGTTGGAGCTGGAGGAGCCTTAAGCTCCCTTCCAACCTGAACCATTGTGTGATTCTGCACTTACAACTGCAGGGCTGAATTCCTGTGGTACAAGATTTTAACTCTTCTTTTCTTAATTCACTTTATTTAAGTGCTGCCTGACAGTTTATGCCATAATTAGGTTTTCCCTTTGAAATACCCTAACAGTACTCATTTTTCACTGTTCACAGGTGATTTAATGTGTCTTAATTTGAGCTTTGTAGCAAAAAAAAAAGAAAGGTGGTAAAAATCTTAACTTCAAAGTGATTAAGTGATATTTATCACTGAAAAAAAAAGAAACCTCCATCATTTAACTCTAAAAACGTGCTGGAAATGGATATAAGAGAGGGTGACTTTGCCCTGAAGCTGTGAGCTGTGTTCAGAGTTAATGTTGTGACAGGTATTTGGGGTTTAAAGTTCTCCAGAGATCCAGCATTAATAACCAATGTTACTCATTAACTCTCATTTTTGACATGTATGACACAGTAAATTGCCATCAATTTTAGACACTTGCTTTTGTACCTGAAACCAAGAAAGATTTGGGGTCAAGTCCTACTATCTTTAAGCTTTTGCATCAAGGAAGTCCCAAGCACTCACAGCACACAGGTTGCATTGGGTTGGGGTGAGGTTTAAGGCAAAGGACAGTCCCCCTGAGGCTAGTGGGGATCTGCACGTGGAGGATGGGGACTTGGGTGCTCTCCCCAAAAGCTCAGTGCTAATTTGCTTCATAGCACACACACACAGAGCAGAAGGAAAGGATTGTGCTTCAGCTTCCCTTGGCTCCATCTGGCATTTCCTTGTACTCAAGGACACCTGCAGACCTCAAACCTGGATGCTCAGTATGGGGCTAACTTGAAAAGGCTGATAGTGTGTGTTGGGGCGGGTTTGGGGGGGCGGAATCAGATGTGGTAAAACAAGGGGGAATGGCTTTAACCTGCCAGAGGGAGACTGAGATGAGCTCTTAGGCAGAAGCTCTTCCCTGTGAGGGTGCTGAGGCGCTGGCACAGGGTGCCCAGAGAAGCTGTGGCTGCCCCATCCCTGGCAGTGCTCAAGGCCAGGTTGGACACAGGGGCTTGGAGCAAGCTGCTCTAGTGGAAGGGGTCCCTGCCCGTGGCAGGGGTTGGAGCTGGAGGAGCTTTGAGCTCCCTTCCCACACAAACCACCCCGTGCTTCACAGGGCAGGGGCGGCCCGGGTGCGACGGGAGGCACCTGGATGGAGGGAGGAGCCGAGGGAGGGGCGCGCCCGGCCCGGCCCCCCCTATCCCTGCGTGGTGGCAGCGGCCCCGGTGCGGCGGGGATGCCGGTGCGGAGCGCGGCGGGCAGCGCCGGGGCTCGCCACCATGAAGAAGCATCACTCGGTGCAGGGCACCTTCAGCCGCCTCTTCGGGAAGCGCCAGCCCAGCCCCGCCGCCGCGTCCCTGTTCGCCACCAACCCGCCATGGATCTTCACGCAGGAGGTGACCTCGGACAGCGCTGGTGGCACCGGTCAGTGTCCGCTCCTCACCTCCCGGGGCTGGGAGCGGGGCAGCTCCGTGCGCGGGGACCGGGAACGAACGGGACGGGGACGGCGGGCGCACGGAGCCGGGCTGCTCCGAGCGGGGCGTGCGCTCTGCGGGCTCCGGGGAGCCTGAGACCGGCGCCGGGCTCCGGTGGGTCCCGGCCCGCCCCGGGAGGTCCAACTTGCCTAAAGCGAACTGCTTTGGGTCCGTTTTACTGCCCCCAGCAGCTCTTTCCCACGCCGCGTTCCATCAGCGCCTCCCCGGCTTTTACTTATTTACTTTAGAAACCTGTTCCGTGCAGGGCTCTGTGCTTGGAGGGGGTTGAGGGCTGCCCCTTCCCCGGGTTTATTTGTATTTCCCTGTGGTTTTAATTGCAATACTGTGCCCTGGAGGCTTATGGAGGAGGGAGCCAAATTAGCAGTCGTGGAGCCAGGTAGATAAAAGATTAGCAGGTTGTAGATGAAGTTTGGTGGCTGTAAGATTCCAACAGCTCCTTCCAAGCTTAGGAACGGCTTGGGTGCTTGCTGAGCTGTGCACTGTTGAAGTATTGTCCATTAATGCTGTTGCAAGGTGGTTACACCCTGAAGGCTGAGCTGGTGAAACTAAAGATAAAATGAAAATGGGACGGAGAGTTTCACACAGCTCTCGAGCACAAAAGGAAACGCGCTTGTTTCTACGGGCTGTAAATCTGAGGAGGATTCAAGCTTCTCTCTGATGTGGCTTGGATTTAAAAAGGGAAAAGAAAAGAAGTTGCTGTGTCGGCTTATTACCAGCCTGATTTCCGTGGCTGCAATTGCAGTACAAAGGCATTCCTCTCAGGTGTGGGGAATTGCTGTGTGGATCAGCTTCCAAAGCGAAAGCCAGCAGTCCTTGAAATCTGAGCCTATATAAAAGCTGTTGAATCACTCCTCAGCATCCCCTTGGCGTTTATATCATTAATGTTAATTTGTGGAGGGGAGAGTGACACACCGGCGCTGAGTGACCGTGCTCAGAGGAGCGTGTGCTGAGCTGTGGGCTCCTCACCAGCAAGGCTGTGCTCACAGCTCCTCAGTCCAGGGCTCAGACCTTCCTGTCCCTTGGTTTCCACAGTGCCATGGCGAAGCCCCGTCGCTGTTTGTTGACTCTTTGCTGTGCAGCTTCATGCCATCGCCGCTGCCAGAAGGAGTCCGCTGCTGCTGATCCCCACCTTAGCTTTTGGTGCAAAGTAAACACAAGTTAAGCAATGTGGAATGGGTGTAGGTCTGCATGTCACTGACTCAGAGATTCCTGAATATAGTGACTGATGCCGCCTCCTTGCTGTGGATACCCCAGCGTCAAACCTGCTGCGCCTACTCCAGGTGATGCAACCCTCAAGGAGGGAGAAGTTCCATTGCATGCAGTGCAGATTTGCTTATTTGACTCCG